TTCCAAACCTACCATGAGGAGGCGCACGAACCATACACACCTTTCTGGTTGTGGCGACGGTCACCAGCTCGATTGGACATCGAGGTTTATTAGGCAACTTGGACGTTAGACCTCGTCCAAAGGGTGTATGATCCGATGAACTGTACACCGGCCCCCAATGGATTGCGGTTTTCACACTCCGCCCCGCTGCTTTTTGGGTCAGGCTTTGACTAGCCGAAGGCCCCGGTTATGAACTTCTCAAGAAAATTCACCTGCGTTGACATGGGCAACCTAGCATTACTCCACCCACATGCAAATAATGGAACGTTTTTCTTTTGCCATGATTTGTTTGGCACGCAGTCTGGCGTCAGATGTGTGAAATGTACAATATATATATATATATCAAAATCATTCCGAAAGAGGTCTTCTAACCCCAAGCCCCGATGAGCGTCAAATAACGGACAAAAATAAATATATGTTGGTGCGTTGTCACTGATCCTAATTTATTAAAAAATGCAAAGCTTTTCGCCATGCGGAATTGGTCAACGCGAATGATCATGTGTGTACACTATTTAGGATCCTTCTAAGAAGCTGTCAGAAGACATAACTCTACAAAAGTTCTCAGATTTTGGATAATGAAGCCAAAAATACATGTTTGCACAATATATCCTGGATCATTTCACTACATCTGTACACATACATACTGCAGTTTATGTGATTAATAATATATGGTCGGAAACAACGCAACGGTATGCAAATCATAGATGACGATATCAGCTGGCTGATTATCAAGCGCTTAAAATTGGCCGTTAGGCGCACATACTACGCAGCTGATCCCATCCTAACTTTTCACAACCGACCAGTTGCAAAACCCTCGGTGGAAGAGCCGCTTTCACCCCACACAAAATCTAATTGTATCTATTAGTTCAAGTGTGGATACTAGGCCATCTAAATTGGCAGAACGGAGATACAACTGAGTTACCGAGCAACCGAGCACATTCCGGTCTGGCTTCAAAAAAGAACGAATATGAACTTCAGAATTATGACGTCACCGATGACCAGTAGGAAACTCAGTTCTTAGGTCACACAACACCTGATCGAAATGAAGGACTATGTCATACTGCGCGTCGCGTTCAGAATCCTCTAGAGAACAAACAATATCAGGGTTCTCAAATACGCCGAAGCACTAGCCATTAAAAATTCCCATCTCAAACTGTGTAAACATCATGAATGGCTTATCATTCTGACGCTACCTCGGTAACAAATTTGTTTGGTGACTAATTTTGACCGAAATCTTTCCCTATGGTTATGTTATTTCGGATCACAGAATAATGTTCACATAAACTGCAGTATCCACTTATACGGTGAAATGAAGTTATCCGGAATGAATTGTGCAAACTTGTATTTTTGGCATCTCTATTCAAATTCGTTACGGGCAAACTGTGCTTCCAAGTTCTCAGGTATCTTGCTGGTAATTCAATCTCAATCTCTAATATAAAGGAGAGAGCAGACGTGCAGTCCTCAATTAGAGTTTTCTCTTGCAAATCAAATACAGACTTCTAGACGGATACTCGGGATTTTTCCGCAGCTGTCCTCCAAAGAGTGTGAGGCCCTTCCATCAGTCTCACTCCATTTTAATTGAAGTCAAGCTTATTAGGCCAAAGGACACAAGCAATGCTGGACATTGTGTCCGTTTGGATTCAGTAGCTACCCTGTCTGGTTTCGAATAGCTCTATCATCTCCTCTGCTCCTCCTCGAATCAGAAACAACCACCAGAAGGCACGCTATGTGGTATCAGTAGTGAGATTATTATATCGAGCAAACAAGAAACAAAATAGATGAAACTTTTTGATCAGTTACTGAGTCGTTCGTCTACACTACAACACATTAGTTGCCGAAACTTACAAAAAGAACACGATTATGAAAGCCTTGGGAAAGAAAATGCTTCAAGCGAAGACTGTACCTCCACGAAGGTCTACGAAGCCCATTTTCAGAGAAAAATGAATAATTTCGAAATGTTGTTTGCTTTTTTGATTTCAGAATCAATTTCCCAGGATTGTATCACCTCAGTTACCTCAGTAACACCTCACTTATTCTAAAACAAGCCAAAAAAGACGCAGAAATCGCCAAGGGACAGTCTTAGCAACACAGCTGAACCGCATTGCCTTCCCTATAGATGATTTCCTGGTTTCCGCGCTGAACAAGGTTTTACTCTGCCCAGAAGTTTGGACATCGATAGTAGTACCGACGACCGGCAAACGCCCGCTTCATTAATTTTCGTGCAGCATCCGATTGGTTTCACTGAAGGTATTTGTGCAATATCATGCTCCTCGACGTGCTGCTTGAAAAGCTCTAAGCCTGTAAGAGCATAACACCCTCAAGAAAAGCTCCACTCACGTTAGCGTTAGGAATTGTTACCTTAGGGGATATCACTTTAACCTTGTGCTACAGAAGAACTGGCTAGAATACCGGCTTTAATTTTTCGGCATGAAGGTGTTCATGACCTGGAACTCGGCTCCATTCCAAGTTGTTTGTTCTCCAATCATCGATCCGTTCAAATTGCGACCCAACGTAGCATTAAAACATCTAACTCTCATGAGGGAACAAGATTATTTATTATTCGATTATTTGATTGATGCTACCATTCAAAGTCAGGGGTTCAATATGCTTAAGTTTTGTAAGATACCCGTTATAAAAACTGAATTTTAAGTTGATCTAAACATATCCGAATCCAAAAGAAAAGGTAAAACGTCAAGTTGGACAGTATTACAGCCGCAAGTAGTCAGAGTGTAGGCTCTGGATACATAAATTGCATTGGTTGACTGGTATAGTGATTTCAACTATTTGCGCTTAGATACCGATCTGTTTTACATGTTTCGGTTGATAAGTTTCAAAGTCTGATGTTGATTTTCCGTTGACTTGTTTCAAAATATTTACTGCAAAAGACTAATAATTTTGGCTCTGGAAAGCAAACTATTTACATCCATCGTAACTCACCAATGGTTTCCTGTTTTCTTTTCTTGTCATCCAATACAACGCGTTTTTATTATTTAAAGCTTTTGTCACAGGAGTTACAGTTAAAACAGCTGTTTTGTTTTGCACTTTCATGTATCAATTCATCAATGAGAACAACAAATTATTCCGATATCGGCACACAACTGCTCACTAGGTTCAAGTGACCTCGCATTGCTTGAAGGCATCGTGGTGCAATCACCTGAACTTAAGCCCCGAACTCAAATTAATGTATTGCTAATGTCAAATTAATGAATGTCTCTAAATCCATGTCCTTCTCCAATCGATGGGACTTCTAACCTATTCAAAATGTGCCGAATAATTACACGGTCATTTTGCAATAGTGGGTTTAGAGTGCTCAGATTAACAGTTAAAATTGGCCCATTTGAATATATATATATATATCACCAATCTTTACTGATACGGCGCTAAAAGTAACCATGGATTAACGTAAAATATGGGTATATAAGCGGTGAAAACAAAACAGTCAGCTTGAGGGAATAACAAATTTTTGGTTTGTTTACTGCACGCAGTTTTTAGTTATTTTTGTTTTTGTTTATTTTTGCACACAGGAGAGGATGCATCCACGCCGCTGACTTCGTTTCCATGCTATATCCTGCAGTGTCCCCAACCAATGACAATCTGAATCTTTGGGGCCCCAGCCGGCGAGCCGGAAAACCCCAACGGAATCCAGATCCGAGCACAATCTCTTTAACCCTCTGCGCCACGTCATAGCCTGTCCACCTCGCTGTTTCCTCCAGCCTGGATCGATGTCTGCGAATAGTGCACGGTGTGGCAGACGTTGCTCAGACATTCGTAGGACGTGCCTAGCTATCTAAGACGATACTGTGAAATTATGTTGCTTAAAGGGAGACTATCTGATCCTAGCACCCTTCGTCTGAATTCATCGCTATTCAAGCGATGCTCCCACATTAGCGGGAGATGTTGTGAGTACAACATAAAATTCTATAATCAAGGGTATTGAGGAGCTTAGTACACATACACTGAAAATGTCTCGTATGCCAAATATTTCTTGTGTAAATTCTCGTCCAAGACCTTTGGTTTATCTTTGAGTTATATTCCTATATGGTTTTAATAGAACAATGGTGGCATTATCAGTTCAAAACGAGATTTACCTTACTGCAGACTTTGGAATCGAACCGTATACCAGTACGGACAATCCTCTATACAGTCCACGAATTCCATGGGATTGCACCGTTTTTTTAACGCAGTCAATTGGTCCGCTGTATCGTTTGGCTGCCCCCATACGTTCGTCTAGTTGTAGCTGAGTTTTCACATATTCCGTGGGAAAAGTGATACAAATTTCAATACCTCCAGTGATGCCACCTTAAAGGAGTCCGAATTTTGTGCGGATTACAAGCGATAGGCTTACCAGCAATAGTGCCTTTTACCGTCTGTTGAATCCGTGTCGATGTATCAGGCATGTCAAGGCAGTTCTTTGACTGGAGTTAGTGCTAAAAGTAGGAGCAAGTCATCGAATCACATCAAAGATGGAGAATATACTGTTCAAAGAAACAACGTTTATACAATAACCAACGTGAAATTAGATCTAACAATGGTCTGACGTTTTGGTTAACTCTACGCTAGTCGTATTCTTCGGACTTAACACAATCTTCTCTAAGTTTCATTCTCATTTGTATAACCAGACCTCACAAGATTTCTGGCGCTGTGTTTTGGTTAGCTCCTAGATTTCAATAGGTATAAAGCAATGGTTCTGGTCATGAATATGGGTTTGACTCGTTGGTAACTCGCTTATTATTCATATGTCAAATAGTCATTATTTATGAAAGAATTCTCCTTGATGGTTGAAAAAAAACCTGAACAGCTGATTCAACCTGTTGGGCTTCTTCAACAGTGAGNGTTTGCTCATACAGCGACTAGAACCACCAGTTTTGGGGCAAGGCATTAACCTTGAGTTATACTGTCAACATAGGGTAATTTGCTAAAGGTGCAGCTCAGAGGTAAAGGTTTGGCCTCCTAGCCCAATTAGGATAATATATCTGAACCGAATTATTTGATGCTTTTCTTGTCTTGGAAGTCGTTTGCGCGCATGGTCGTTCCTTGAGGGATTGATTCAGTTTGTTACCCATCTGTCACTTGGACTTCGTCTGAGATCCTGAATAAAGATTACAGAATACTAAAATCCAATGCACCAAGGATACTTATGAGGCCCAAACAGTAGGAGAAATGGACTGCTTTTATGATCCACGGAATTCCTGTGACCTGATACGACTAGGTATTGTTTAAAACCATGAGCAGATGTAAGCCACGGATCAACACCTATTTCTGAGTGGATTAGGAGTTGCATCCAGACCACAGCGGAAGCGTTCAGAATGTGCCTACATAAACTGTATTTGGTTTGAGAAACAATTGGAACAAAGAATTGGTCTCCGGTAACCATCACAACACTCTACGCAGTCATTTCTTCAATGTCCTAATGGCTTGAATCAATGCGTATGTGTGACAACCGAATTGCGAGAAATATGCCGTCTCAGAACTGAAATATCATTTTTCTTCTCGTTATTTAATGAATCTGTTCCAGACAAATACTTAGACATAAAATACGTTACGCTAGCCTGTGTCTGAAACATAGAAAACAAATTTATTCCCTACTGTTTTTCTTAATGAGTGGTAATAGTAGATTCAGACAACACCACTTTGATCATGTTGCTCGTGACATTTTTTCAGATATCACTCAACGAACTGGAAATGTTTGATTCTCATAAGTGTTCCTCACCTCATGCATAATGAGAGCTGTTGGTTCCGCTCTACATGAGGTTAGAAATCCTAGTGTATCTCAATAAATAAAATTTATCATTATTACTCAGGTGGTTTTATATGAATAAGATAGTTAATTTACTGTTGGTCCTCATGCATATTCCTGAAGGTCAAGCAAAATAAATTGCTCATTCTTCCATCCACGATTACACTTGTTATTTGTTCAGCATGTCGTTAGGATAAAATAGGGATGGCCGTCAAAAATAATTACTTAGGAGAGTTTAGTTGGCCAAACCAAGAGAGACTATTAATTAAAGTCCTATCTAGCCGAACTCAAAATCTCTGTATGAGACACAACGACCAATTTGCAATATGGGTGCCTGGAGTCTTTAGATTTCGGTGCCTAAACACCAAGGACATTATTCGCAGTATCTGTCACCACTATTCAAACTGTTCATTAGAGTAAATGAGGGAAAGACCGTAGAGAAATACTAGTTCCCATGGCTTTGGACTTCGAAAATCCACCGCTGGAATGAAGCAATAATATCAATCTAGACTAATCATTGTTGCTCTCAATGGAAACTGTTGCCACGGAAATTTAATTGGAAATAGCCTTAGCAACTAGTCATTTCAACACTTATGGTAATTTTCGTCATCTATAAAGCAAATGAAGTGTGAACTGCAAAGCAAGAAAGAACTGTAAAACCATTGGGACCTAATTAGGTCTCATCAGAAGTGCCGATCCGCCGATTTAAATAAAGATCGAACACAAATCTTTACAGATAGAATGCAAGCATAATACCAGACAGCTGATCAGACCGTTTTTATTTTCTCCATACACGACGTAATAAATGCCAACACTTGCTTATTAAATTACTCAAGACTTCAAGACCGGCCCTTCCGTCAAAGCTACGATGTTTTCGCCATTTTTCTATTTCTCTTCTCCAGAATGCTAAAAGGACTGTTTTGATTAGAAGCTCACGGAAAGCCAACTTTTGTTAGGAGCATAACTGAAATTATTGTAGCGCGGTAAATGCGACCTTTGAATTTATATGTAACGTCAGCCAACTGCGAGAAAACGGAGGAAGTAAATGTGACGAGACTAGCAGTAATGAAATCCAGAGTGGTGAGGGGGCTGAGAGGAAAAAGGCTAAATTAAATAACGTTTGAGAGATTTCGAGCCCTCCGAAAAGGAACGTACACAAATTTTCATCTCTCTAGTTCGATAAGTTGCGTTTTTAAGTATTATCCCCTGGTTCTAAATTTTGTCCCACTGAAACACAATTTCACCGAAATGGGGATAAAGACAGTTTGAAAGCCTCATGCACCAACTTACTGATTCAACGCCTAACCACTCTCATCTAGTTGCTTAGCTCAAAATATCGCTCGCTCGCTATTGCCACTAGTACGAAAATACACGAAGCCAGGCAAAAACTCTTTTTATAAAGAAACATCGACGCCGTCAATAATCATACTTCAAACAAGAATATCATAACTTCTCCATCAGACAAGGGAGCTGGATGTGTAGTACTTTATAAAACAAATTTTTAATCTAAACTGTGGAAAAGTCTCAGCAACTCCCCTAAATTTTCTGCTGAACTACATGGGAAAGACATGACGGCGAATACGAAATCTATAATGATGCCCATCTTGATAAAACTCAAAGTAGAAGGTCATATATTGCATGCAGTTTTCGAAAAGGTTTTGCTGACTACATGCTCATTGCTGCAGGCCTATGGTTTGGACGGTGGTGGCCAAGTGGTTAGGTCACCAACTTGTGACCTAGGAGCCCTGAGTTCTAACGGCTCCGCCGCCCGTCTTCCCTATATCCGTATTTTCCCAGGCAGCCTTTGTATGGCCGTGTCCACCATCCTGAAAGAGGACTGCACATTTGCATATTCAATAAATAAAAAGGAAGTAAAAAGATACAAAGAAACGACACCTAAGATGCAAAAACAAAGGGCCGTATACAATCAATATTTGATATGTTATCTACTCCATATCACTTTATCATCTATTGGATCGCGGAACGTCTAGAGCGAGTACGCAAACTGGATAGTAAAATATAGTCCAAAGTATTTGTTCAACTTCATAGAGAAGATAGAAAACGTAATATTTTCAATTAAACTATGATGTCTTTTGACGTGATATGTGTAACCACCTCATATTCTACAGCGTTTATATCGAAATTGCGGTGAATAAACTGAAATAGCTGATTCTCAGATACACACTTAACGTACAATTTTTCAAAGACCAGTTCTCCGGAAACGCAACTGGTTAACTGCGGGTCTTCACTAAATCCCATATTAGCTGATATTTTTCAGCCAAACTAGAGAATGACAATTTGAAAGAGACACTTCGAGATCTAAACCTATATTTTAGAGAACTCAACAGTACTTTGATCGTTTGTGATTCTCAAATTAGCGACATGCAGCCTTTAAACAATTTCAATAAATGTCATCTAGTTAAAAAAAGCGGAAAACTATCCGTCTTAGATGTGTTATTAACTATGCAAGACGGTGGCAGCATACAAAGAAGTATTTCTCGTAAAACACTGGGGTTGTACAGTATGCTTGCTATTTTAGCCTCGTCTACCTGAAATACAAATGTAACTTGGTTCAGTCTTTATCACATCAATTGCGAGCAGTTCGGGGTACGTTTTATTTATGGAAGTACACCGGTCAAATGGCTACCCACAAGCTTTTATAGATAAACATATGCGTCTGAATACCAACACGATCAAGTCCCTACCGCTTTTTGCAGCAGAGTTTTCATTACCGTTTCGTTTACGGACGACGATGCTTTGGGACATCTCAAATCAAATCTAAAGTAATATCTGCATTTCAACCTTATATTTTACTACCACTTCCTGTTCCAGCAATTAAAATATAAGCTACCCATCAGTTCAAATTTCTCGTATTATATTTTTTGACTTGTAGTGTGCAACCCATTGGATATACGACCAGGCGATTATCGAAAAGTATTGTTGAGTATTGCCCTACAACCCTCTCCACAGGAACGGTTATGAGCATTTGCAGACTGATTTACGGTCATCTCGTTGATACCGGGTGCTTTGTGAACAAATTAAATGCATTCAAACTAATTCGCACTATACCCCGAAAAGGTGCTAAATAAATAAGAGTGTGCCTTTTAACCGAGGCTGAGGCAGTTTTTATGTGCATTTCTAATCCCAAACTAGCAAGCAAAAGAATCTTGTCCAGAGAATGTTGTTGTCCTGATTTGGAGAGCGGATAGATTGTATATAAAGGGAAGCATCTAGCCTCCTCCCCTCCCCCTACTCGGTAGCATTTACCACAGTTACGTTTTTCTCCACTGTCCCTTCCGAATTATATCTCAAGCTATGCATTAGTATATCTTACTCAACTTCGTCTCGCTTTCTCAGCTTTGCTTAAAACTTTCATTGAATTCAGTCCAATACTCAGCCGTTTTTTCATTTTTCATTTTTCCTTTTATCCTCTACACCACTTTGGCTTTGATTATTGCTAGCCTTATCACATTCACCTGCTCCGTTTTCTCACTTCTGTAACTGTTATAAACTGAACTCTAATCGGTCTTCCGGATATCAGTACTAAGATAACCTCATAAGTGCAATCGCCTGTTGCAATTTGGGGAAGAAATTTGTTCGCAAACATGGTTTTTATACCTCTATGTATGTGTAACTCTTCAATGCCCTATCATATTTTTG